ACAGTATGTGGCCTGTCACTCTTAGTCTTTTGAGACATGATTGAGAACAAATCCTTAATGGTTGGCCAGAGAGCGTTTGAGACGCTTCCCATACAGTGCACTTTGTCAGATTTTTCCTTTAGTCCGTTTGTTTTGAAAAAATAATGTGATGATCACAAAGCTGATTGTGGGCCTCATTCTGTTAACCTCTTCTGTGTTGAAATTACTGCGCTTCAGAAGTGGTTGCATGTTTTTCATTTGGAGAAAGTTAGAACTTAAAGTAAGGGTGTAGTATGCTGTTCGAGATCAAAATCCAATTACTGGCACCCTGCTCTTGTGCAGTGGCCTCCAAAACTACTGCAGAGAAGAGCTGTCCATCAAGGGAATGGCTGGTTTAATACGGTACTCTTGGCCAGAAAGAAGAGCAGGTACCATTGTAAAGAGCTAGAACAAATACAGCCAAAGTACATTATAACACTATCCATGAATATAAGTATTCTACATTTTATAGTTTGTCTCAAAGATTTTAGTTACTTGCTGGACTATGTCTCTTACAACGTCAAACCCTTAGTGGTTTAGATTGCTGTAACTTCACTGAAGTCCGTGGGGTGATGCAGATTTACTCTAGTTGTGGCGATCTTCACTTACATATAGGACATAAATGTATGGGTTTGTTTTGTTTTTTCTTCATAAGCCATTTTGGAAGATACTCTGTCCTTCTTGCCCATTCACACTCTGGGGGTTATTGGCACTCTTCTCTAAAATCCCAGTATTTTCAAAAAAATACTAAACTCAGTGATGTTAGAGAGTCAAGTAGACAGGATATCACAGTGTTGAGCCCTGAGTAAATAGGACCATCTCAACAATTTAACAAATACGGCCATAAATACTAATTTTTATAGATAGATTGTTTTTTATATCCTTGGCTGCTTAAATTGTAAAAGACTAAGCTTTCAGTTTAAAAAATCCAGTGAAGGTTCTCTTGATAAATACAGTTATTTTACTAAGTTACTTGAAACTAGACCTGCACATCCTGAATGTTGTGAGCTGCCGCTTTTCCCCAGCTTACAGGGGTATGTTACGTGTCCTTTACAGGTTGACAAAGTCCTAGACCATTGACCTCTTAGAAAACAAATTTGCTAGAATCAAGGTGTCAGAGACTTGTTTGCCTCTTTCTCCTGTAGGAACTTCTGTGAATTATGTAACCTTTTTTTGGACACACTATTCACGTGTATAAAACAGGGACCATTCCTGTCCTCAGTGTACAAAATCTTTTAGGATCCCTTAATAAAAAGTGTTAGATTAAATGCAGATGTTTTCTGTGAATTGTTACTACATTTCAGTTCAAGTAACTCGTTAGTCTTCTAGTGGAAAACATACAAATCTTATCAGGATATATCTCCTACTTATTCTAATAGATACTAGACAATTATTGGCCATTGGACTACTTAATGTTATTAAGTCTTGAAAATAATAAATAAGTATTTCGACGTCTTCCAGTACATTTCTTTATATTGTAAACACAAAATTGATATACAGGTTATGTTCCACCACTCCTTTTTTTCCCCATTACCATTAAAATAGTTTCAGGTGATACGAGAAAAGATTTCATTTCAATATAAGTGAACCCCCCAAAGCTATAATTTACTATAATTCAACAATTGTACATTTGACATAAGGCTTTGTAAATAGGTTAAAACAAACAAACAAAACCAAGCCTCCGTGAAGGGAGGGTAAAGGAAGAGCTGCATAACACATCAGAAAAGAATTCTTTTTTTAATATTGTGAAAAATACTATATTTCAAGACATTTCATAAAGAATTAGTAACTGCATATGTTAGAATTGCGTGTGTTTTATGCTAGAAAGCAGTTTACAGTTGGTTTTAAATTGAAAACAATTGTAGAGAGATGGGCTTTAAAACATATACCATTCTGAAAACTCATTAGGTTTTCAGTTCATCCTTGACAGCCATCTAACACAAAGAGACCTCAGCTTCAATTGTCATCCGCGGGTTTTAATCTATAAATACTTTGGCCCACTAGCCTTCTAGCACTTTTTTATTCCTGTACTAATGATAGGAGGCCACAGCTAACCCAGTTTTATAATCTGCACTGCTCTATTTGTGAAGATGTGAGGCCTAAGTGATGCAAGCTGGTGTAGCACACTCTTTTTCTCTCAAAATGCAAGAGTTACTGTCACTTCAGAGCCAGTACTGTTTGTACACAGAGGGCGTGCATTGTCCCGTTTGTTAATCAAGTTCTTTATTTATCTTTTTCTTTTCACAATGGAATTAAATATGGGAAAATCTCTATCTGCCGAGATTTTGGACTTGATATGTAGCTGTCATTCCGTGTTAGAGCTGCCAAGGATCACTTCTTGATTGCACTGATCACACTTTCTGTTTAGTGACATGGAAGCTGCACTGCGCTATCTGTTCGTGCACTTGTGTGCTGTTGTGCAGAATGTTTTCTCTAACCTTGCAATTTGCATACTCAAAATTTTTAATAAACTGCTCTGTGTTCAAGCATTTGCTCTAGTTTCTGTGCAGCCCATTAGTGCATCTGAGCTCAAACTCCTCAAAAACAGTAGCAGTTGCAGAAAAAAAATGGCTTGCGAGGACTCAGCAAGAGATATAGTTAACTAATATGTTGGAAAAAGGAGGTACTTCTTTGTAGTAAGGTTATTTTCACTGAAATAAATGGAAGTTTTTGAGTTTGTAGTTTAAACTCCAGATTTTCAAGAAACTGATGGGCTCCATACCTGATAGTTAAATGCTTTTTGTCTTTGCTAGATACGTTTACTTTCCTATTTTTGCTATATGTAATGACCTTTTCTATTTTTTTAAGATTCAATAGACAGTATTTTTACAAGAGAAGGTGAACCATTACACTTCACTAAAATACTTTTTCCCTTCTTTCTTCTTCATTTTGATCCAAATCCACTGTTTTTTAGATTTCTCTACCCCCCACCCCAAAGGCATTTTTTTTAATTAGTGAAGTAATATCCTTCGTGTTAAGTTTAATGGAAGATAAGATGCTATATATAACGAAATGCTGCCTTTAATTTAGGCTGGAAAATTATTTGCTATCTGACATTGGACTTTGTGTAGCCAGATTGTCTTCCAGAAAAGAGGTCATAAATAGGAAGCTCCAAAATGCTAATTATAGTGAGTACATTAATTTCTATTATGAGTTATAACATAAAAATTGAAACTTTTTTCCTCATTGTGCAAACTGCTAAGAAAAAAGATGGAGTCTGTTAAGCAGGAGGATTTTCAAAACAAATAGTCCCTACTTAAACTGTCTTTTGTGAGGAGTTTTGTATTTCCTTGATATTCCTATAGTCAACATATAGGTAGCTTAGCTTGATTTTGAACAGCAAGATAATTTTCTCTGTTGTTGTGGACCATGGAGTGTTGCATTTGATGACTACTCTTTGATGAGAAAAAACAGACCAAATATTTGAGGTCTTTCACCAGCCTCTGGCTGTCATCTTTTTCCCCTTAATGAACCATAGCATCTTCAGACCTCTAACTGTGAGGTGTTTCAAGCAGTCAGCTCTGTTGTGAATCCACAGTGAGAGTGAGGTTAATGGAAAAAGGAGGACATTTTGCATACAGATTTCCATTCATAAAGAGTTCCTAGCAGAAAGCACTGAATGTCAGCTAGAGAGCTGTATTTTCCATGCTTAAAAAGTTGTACTTATGTCCAGAAATAAAAATGAAAGTAAAGACAGGACTGAAAGCTTCTATTGTTTGTCCCTACAGTAGATTAAGGAACAAATTCTGTGGGGTTATAGACTTCAAGAAGAATCTGAAGTGCTGCTTTGACAGACACAAAAGGATATCCCTCACTGCCTGAAAGCAAATGCTGCCTATTTCATTGTGCTTCTGATGAATAAACAGACTTAACTGCATCAGCTTCTCCAAGTACTGGGGTGGAAGAAATCAGACATACAAGGAGTCTCTGCTTTGCTGGATAACCGTTCCATTACTTCATTATTTAGTCTTTTGAGGCTGCTTAACAAAATACTTGCCTTGAAAGAGTTTAATTTTTTATTGTTTTAATTTTTTTGTGTTTTTATATATTGCCCTTTAGTATGTTTGCCTTTGTGGCAAGTAAATAAAAAGAAGTGGTAAGTGAGGCATCATGAAATGGTGACAGTAACTAAATCTTACAGAAGAATACGTGTTACCTGCTATCCTTTTGGTGCATGCTTTAGAATTGACTGCATTAGTTTTCAAAGCAGTTTCCCAAATCAGAATCTTTTAAAAAAAAAAAAAAGGGAGCTAGAATCTGTCAATTTCAGGATAACAAGATGCTGAGATAGATGCTAGCATTTGTATTTCTGAATATAGCCATTTGCTCTGAAAGCTCTTGAAAATGAGGTAGTGAGAAATTGGCAAGTATCCATACTGCCCGCTTTCTTATATTCATGCATATGGATACCAGAGGGTAGCCAAAAATCTGGCAAAAAAAAAAATAATTCATAATTCCTTCTTAATCCATCTGAACTGAATTACAACGAGGTTTCCAAAAAGGCTGCTTTTATTTTTTTGTTATGATAAAAAGAAATTATGAAAATATAGAAAATACTTTAAGAGCTAACTGAACATTATTTTCTGCTGATCATCAGAAAAATACTTATTTTTCTTAAAATATATTGGAAATGGGAAGACTGATGTTAATGATGTTTTGTCAGGCTTAGCCTTATACTTCCAAATCAGCTAACTAGACAAAGTAGAAGATTTTTTTTTCCCTTCCCTGCTTACACACAGTAAAAGCAAGTATTGATTCTGAGTTCACACTTAATAAAGGCATTACTAACAATGGTCTGAGTTTATGCACTTATATTAAAATGTTCATCCTTATTAACAATTAACTTGCTGCTTGGAATGATTTGGGCATCAGCCATAGTCTTGCAGAACCAGAAAACGGTTTGCAGAATCAAAATATGTTGCACACAGGCACTGAGTCTTCCATGTTGAATTTAAGCATGTGACTCCACTCTTTTACCGTAGGTGATATACGCAATGACTTATACCTGACGTTAGAAAAGGGAGACTTTGAAAGAGGTGGGAAAAGTGTGCAGAAGAACATTGAAGTGACCATGTATGTGCTCTATGCAGATGGAGAAATCTTGAAGGTGAGTGCTTATTTCCTCTGAGCTTCAGGTGCCATCTGCTTGCTCCATGGATGTGTTCTCTTGTTTTATTGTCTCTGATGCAAGGGAAGTGCTAAACAAAAACCAGATCTTCCTTCCCCCCGCCCCCTATGTTGTTAAGCTATATATTATGATGAAGGAATTGGTCAGTTATAAATTTGAAAGAATTTGGAGCACTTCCCCTATATGGGAATAGGGGACTTGGAGAAAATATTCATAAACTGAAAAGGTTATGTAATTTCAAAATGTGATGTCAGCGACTATAGTAAAAAGAAAATTTAGAGTAACTGTAGTCAGAAAGAACTGAGGAGTATATGACAGATATCTAAAATGAAATAATGTGTGTCGTACAACATGATGAAATGTGATTACAAGGGAGACTTTTAAATCTGAGTTGTCAGAGTTATGGTACCGAATGTAGTTTTGGAAAATAAATTTGAGTAGCTGATTTCCAAGATCTTGGCTTTCACCCTGGGAGGGCTCTGTTCCAGCTGTGGATGGTGATGTTTAATGTTTTTCTTTCTTCCTCTGCTCTTAATATTATTGAAGAGAAGAAGATAAGTCAGCTTTTTGTGGGGTGGGAGGGTGTGAGGATGGAGAAGTAAATGAAAGTATTTCGACATAAACATCTATCAGAAATGGAGAAGTGGCTGCATTAAAATGTATTAATCATAACTTCCCCCTACTTTTTTTTTTTACCTCCACTGCAATAAAATGGCCTTTGTAGCCATTATCATAGAAGAGTCTGAACACCAAAGTGCTTGTGTACCAAACTCATTGCCACAGTCTGTTTTTTTTAATTGAAAGGAGAACTTTCCTTTATTACTACAATTGTTTGTGATTTCATTGAAAGAAAAGTGTATCTCTTGTAAGGAACTGGTTTGTTCTCGTTAACTGTTGCAGGAAGTTCACAATCCTTTTCTGTTTAATTGCATTAGGCGTACCTTTCAAACTGAGCGACACGTTTTTAATCGTCGCTTTCTTTCACAGCAGTCTGCCAAAGACCAATGTAGGTCTTTACCCTCTAAACTGCAGTATCAGCATCTTGAAATGCTGATGTACGTAATGGTAGCTAATTATACTGTAACTGTGGCTAATGATTAAGTATAAAAGCCATATAGTTTCTAGACATTATCAGTCTTAACTACTTCTGTGGTTTTGTTTGGGAATGGCCATTCACAGATACTAAGTTATTTTTTTCTTACCCTTGCCTGTTATTACTACTGTAACAGTACTTCAGGGCTTTACGTGGGATACTGGAACAGACATGGTACAAACAAACAAAGACTAGTAAAAGGTAGTCAGTCTGATTAGAAAAAATTCAGGTGAACATTTGTCATAAAGGAGAGACTTTCCATATAAAGGATCCTTTGTGGTTTTTAAATTTAAACTACATATTTAAAAGAAAATGTTTATACCAGTTTTTGTATTACTGCTTCTCTGTATAGTTGCAGTCAAAGCAACAAAGATCCTTGGTTTACATCAGGGAGATCTTTGGTTCATGATGTCTAATGATGCCTAAGATCCACTGTATTTCAAACACGCAGACAGTACAATTTTTCTACATAGCAAATACTCAAAGGTATAAACTATCATATCTACTGAAAAATAAGTAAAAGGGCCATCAGGGACAATAGAAGTTGAACTCTCCTTCCCTTTAATTTGAACTCCTTCTCACTGCTTAGATATGTTTGTGTTCTGTCTTAACTGCAGAATAGAACTAGAAAAATAACATATAAAACTGAATATCAGTTGAACTGAATATAGAGGCATAGTTCAAAAGTGCTAAATGACAGTTTGAAGGAATAATCACATGCACATAAGAGAAAGAAGCAGCTACTTAGAATTGAGTTTGCAAACTAATCACATCTCCTCTTTTTTCATCACTGCTGTAGTTTTTACGTGATGTAAAAATTCTGCAAATTCATCTACTAAAGTTAAAGCGAATGAGACAGCCATCTGGAATTACTTAGCGGGTTAACTTACCATTGAACAGTAACGTCCTTGTAGAAGACAGTTGACCCTACCAAGTGTATATGGCTGCTCTAAGTCTACAGAAATGCCCTGAAAATTGTAAGGATTCAGCTCCTTAAACTGTAGATTTCCAGTTTGTCTCAACTTTTAGAATGCAGATTTTGGTTGTAAAATACAGGCAAATTTTGTGCTCAAAATATTCCCAAGCTTCAGGTGAAAAGCCCCAAGAACAAAGCGCTCCATCAGTTCTAACCATCCCACCTGTGCAATGGGTTTTGGGAAGTCCAGGTATCCATTTGTCTAAAACTCAACACAGGTCCATTAGTCTGGGTTATTTCAGTATGCCACTAAATGGGTACTGGTTTACCTTTTATATTAAGAATTTAGTTTTAAGCCCTTGATGGCTTATTGTTCACTGCAACCATCTGGTTTAGGTAATCGTTGGTATGGACACCTAGAGCAGCGTGTGATGACCTGCCGTTTTCTATTAGGAGGGAGCTGGTTTCACCCAAAGACAGACTATAATTACATTCCTAGATCAAGCAGCTGTAAAGAGACTGCTAGATCAGGACTTTCATTTCAGTCATTCAGCATAATCTAAAAGAAAACACTGAAGACCGCAACAAGAGGAGTCTAATATAATGTTTAAGAATAAGGTGTGTGTTGGATAGGGGTTGGTGCAGTAGTGATGAAGAGAATTGCTTTGTTTGGGTTCCCTGTCCCCTGAATGATCACTTGCGTGACCTGAGGTAGCTTTGAAAGTTTAGCTATTTTCTTTCTTCTATTTCATTTGACTAATTATGACATTAATTTATTAACTTTCAGTAGGTGATACAGTAGAGAAGCTAATAAAAAACTCCAAGCTTACAATAGTATGGGCAGAACACTGGAAGTTCACTCACTGACCCCAAAGCACGACTGTTCTTGGTCGAAATACCCTTTACTGTTCCTGACCTATGGCCTTTCCAAAGCAGAGGCTGCCAAATGAGAAAGTGTGTGCTGAGTTACACAGTAGGGAAATTGCCACAATATTTTCATCTAATATTAGAATAAAATCTCTAAACTTTTCCTGAACAGCAGCACAATCAAAATCTGAAATATGCCTTTGTGAAGACTTTAGCAGAACCATACGCAGCGTTAATGAGAATATTTTGTCTGTCTCAAATCCTTATTGCTGTTGAGTATATCTTGGTCCAGAAATAGTCCTATTGAAAGCAGTGAAATTATTCCCAGAATACAGTGCTGTTCAAAATGAAAATGAGTATTTCCTTTTTAAAATGGTCTTACACAATTGTTGGTATCTTTCAGTATATTCTGAAAAATAAAAAGCCTTGACACACTTCTCACTTATTCTTCTTTCTGTTCCAGTAGCAGGAATATCTTACTAATTGCAAGGCATACCTTAAACGATAAAATTATTACCTGGTACTTTGTCTAGCTTAGCTTCCCTTGCTTGCCTCTGCCCTCTAATTCACCTACATATTTGGGTCTCATGGTAACTAGGTGTAGAGAGACTAGTTTCGTGTTTATATTTTGCAGATCACAATTCAGAATTAAAGATGAAACAATCCTCCCTCCTCAGATTGTAGATTGTAGTATAAATGCATAGAAACTAAGTTAACAACCAGCAGGAAAGACTCTTCACCTATTCATCTATTTAAAGTTGATAGCATGAAACAGCATTCAAAGACTGACCATTTGTCTGAACAAGGCAGGTAATTTTTTGAGGCAACAGAAAAAAGCTCACATTAAAATTTTAATTTTTACTGTACCTTATAGAAGAAATACAAACACTATTTTACTTTCTCCTAAGAACCTAATGCTGAATGAGGTTTTGGAATTGCTGCGTTGAAGCCCAACAAGTTACTGTTACTACAAAATATAACTGGGATATTGCAGGCATTCTGTTTTTTAGTACTGCCACCACTACTCTCACTCCAACTTGTTAATATCTGCAACAGTTAATTCTTGTTGCTGTATTTTAAAAAATCACCTTTATGCCGGGATTGTGGCACATACCATATGGTTACTAAGACTTGAGAGGACTGAGTTTTGTGAGTATATGCTAAAGTCACTCAGTTTGGATTAGAGCCTTTGCAATGAATCTCTGCCCAGGGAGGCTGTTCTTGCATGGAATCCCAAAATTCCAGAGAACTTTTCTTTCTTTTTGGGCTCCTTCACAAATTCTTAGCTTTCTTGAAGCCAGAAGAATATTACCACAGGCCGAACTAACTGAGTCTGGTTAATGGGATATACTTAACTTGATAGTCCCTTGTTTACAGATGAAAAAATCAAATCAACATCGTCAGTATTTTCTTGGGGTAGAATTTAGAGATGCCTTGGGGAAATGACCAGTAGTTCTTCTTGTCACGATACTATTCCACGTGGGGTGTTTTTATGTCAGAATTTATATTGCATGTGTCGTCTGGGTCTGCTTAGCTTCTGTTTCTTCCTGGATTCGTTATCCTTAGAGATGCTAAAAGTGAAGAACCTCTAAGCTGTCTTTTTTCTGCATGGTTTTTATAAGGTATCACATCTTTTGGGTCTCTATAAGTGCTAGGTCTAGAACATCGGTGAGTGCTTATATAAAAAAATGTGCTTTCTGCTCTATGTCTTCATTACAAAGGACCTTTCATTGTCCTTATTTCAGGACTTCAGTATTTCTCCTAACTTCCTTTGCTCATGTTCTGACTAAGGATTTCTATATTTCCTAAATAATACCAATTCATGTTTTTCTTCATCTGTATTTTGAGAATACATAGATCGGTCAAGATCTCTGAGCTTTTTATATCTGAAAGCAGAAATTTAGATCCCATTATATTTTTAGGTGATAACTATTCAACAGAAACTCTCGGCTTACCACTAATGAAGTAACTTAATCAGAATTTTCTGGTATACTCGGTGAGGCTGGATGGTTGTAGTTTAAACAGACCGACGTTTTTAAGAGCTTGAAAAGTTCAGGTATCACTTCTGAACTGAGATACTGAAGCAGAAATCTGATTAAATTATGTTTTCAGAAAAGTCTTACTACAAGTGATGGTCCCATTAGGTCCTTTTTTTTTTTGACTCATATATTTGGACTTACGTGTTTATTGTATCTATTCTATGCTTGATAGAAAACTTAGCTTAAATAATAACTTAAATAACAACTTAAGATACTGGAATTCATCCAGTATGATAGGTCTCCTAGTTCATCCTTTGACCTAGAACACAGTTTAAAGATCTCTTCAAAAATTTTGCATTTCATTGTGTCTGAGTTTCTGCTTCTGACTCTTCCTTTATGTCTACAGGAAGATATGAATTGTATAAAGGTTATCACCATGTAATAAAATGACTCATCTGTAGTGATGTGATGTCTTTTAATCTTAAATTGTTGTCTTTTGTTCCAGGACTGCATCAGCCTGGGCTCAGGAGAGCCAAGCAGGAGTGCATACCACTCTTTTGTCCTTTACCACAACAACAGCCCTCGATGGGGGGAAATCATCAAGTTGCCCATCCCTATCGACAGGTTCCGTGGGTCTCACCTCCGGTTTGAGTTCAGACATTGCTCCAGTGAGTGCAAAATACAACCAAGAGAAATCCAAAAAAGCTGAGGTCTTTCCATTGTCAAGTTATGTTTAGATGAGGCTGTTACTGGGTGGAAAGCAGGAAAGGGGTGCCAACTTAAAATACAGCGAAGGTGTACTGCTAATTAGCTCGTTGCTACATTTATTAAACAGCACATTAAAGACATTGTGAACAATCAGTGCAGGGCAAAACATTTTGTAGATGTTCTCCCCTGCTGTTCTTTTGCTGTTTTTTTCTGTAGAATGTTTTCTTTACAGCATGTACATTTTCTGGTTTAGTATGATGTAAATGTTTGTGTTTGTTTTGAGGCTTGTTGATCATTTGCATACAATTAGACATAATATATTATATGTTGTTTCTTATGTAACCTGCATGCTTTTTGTTAGGCATGCAGAGAAGTTAGTAAGTAACCTTGTGCTATATATGGACAGACAGAATATGTACAAATATGATTCCGTATTTCTATCTCTTGCTACAGCAAAAGACAAGGGAGAAAAGAAGCTCTTTGGTTTTGCATTCACTCCATTGATGAGAGATGATGGCACTACCTTGTCGGATGATATCCATGAGCTTTATGTTTATAAGGTACCAATTCTTCTCTGTAGACTTTTCACCTACTCATCTCTGCTTCAGTTTAAATAAGTAATGGTCATTACATTATCTTTTCCTCCCCCTTCATTAGAAGTATGTGAGGAATAGATTAATAGTAGTTTCAAAATTTTATAAATTCCAGGTGACACAACTAGGTATGGATACAGCCTGCTATTGTAGGTACAGCTCACCTTTTCCCTTCAGATAATGATGATTTGTCATCTGTTAATCCTGTCCATTTTCAATTCAAACATAGTAGTGTTTATGAGCATTCAGCAGTTTAACCAGCCTATGGCATTACTCTGTACCTTTGTATTATGAAATTATGCTGTACTTCAAATGCATGATGTGACAATGCTACAGCTTGGCAACCCTGCAGCAAGGGGTTTGGGGGGGGTTGTTTGGTTTTTTTTCCTTTCTGCTGATTTACCTTGGTTTATTTCTTCAGTGTGATTTTCAGACAGCAGCACTAAGTTGTACAGTTGGAAGATTGTGATAAGTTCTAAACAGTCAGTGGTTAGGAGACCATGCTTTCTAGAGCTGGGTCTGTTTTGTGTATGTACAGGCCCTGAAGGTGGTAAGCACAGCTTTTTCCTAGAAGTGTTTTTGTGCACCCAAAAGATCAATAAAAGAACTGTTAGGCAATTGCTGTCAGGGTGTGAGTATGTGGAATGAGACAGAGTAGGTACAACTCCATTTCTTGTCCTGTACCTGCAGTGTGATGAGAACAGCACATTTAACAATCACGCACTGTACCTGGGGCTGCCTTGCTGCAAAGAGGACTACAATGGCTGCCCCAACATCCCTTCCAGCCTCATTTTCCAGCGCAGCACCAAAGAGACCTTTTCAGTCTCCACACAGCTTTCCTCTACCAAACTGACCCAGAATGGTAAGTAGCTGATCCTTCAAAATCGCCCAGGGCAACAGGGATTATGAAAAAGAGAGAGAAGATGGGTATGCTTGCGCTCTCTTTATTTTACTAAAATACTCTTTTGTTACAATTTCTTTATATGTAGGCTTTTTTTTTTATTAACACTATTGAAATGAGCAGAAACTGTTTTTTGGAGGAAATAAGGATATTGACAGATGGCAGAGAAATTACAGACATTACTCTAAGTGCAAGGGAAGAGTAATATGTTAAAGCAAAGTTAATTTTCATTAAATGATTGAAGAACAAAAAATTCAATGTTAGCACTTCTACACAATCCAAAGTCTGTGTTGTTCGGCTTTTACAGAGTTACTAACTAAATAAAAATTTGTTATGGCAATGTCCCTGAAGCATGGGAAGACAAAAGTGGATTGTCCACAGTGCGGTGTCAAGTCACATAGGGAAAAATGCAGTCTTTACTCTTTTTGAAGTACTTTACCATTCCTCTATTCATTTCTTTGTTAGTAGTATTGGACTTACTCCGTATTTTCCTTCTTGTTTTCCCTTTTTTTTTTTTTCGAGAAGTGTGAACTGCAACAAGAGCAGAAGTGTAACATGTAATGAATGTCTGGTGGGTCTGGGGTTGCCGTTCTTCCCTCTGCGTATGGATTCTAGCTCTTTCTCTCACTGTTCTGCAGTGGATTTGCTTGCCCTACTGAAATGGAAAGCTTACCCAGATCGTGTGATGGATATTCTAGGAAGACTGAGACATGTCAGTGGCGAGGAAATTGTTAAGGTACAACATGAATTAACAGTCTTTGGATGTATCTGTGACAGCAAGTGAATTCAGACCTGCAATATGCTTCTGAATGTTCCCTCTTATTGTACTTTTTGATTCATTCTGTGAATTCTCAGGGTGTATGAATTGGGATTTTATTTTGAAATGAAACTGAACAGGAAGGTACACTCCAAAAATTAATGGATAGTTAGTCCTTGGGATCAAAATAGAGCTAATCCTTAGTAAAATTCCCTCATCCACATGTGCTGCAAGTATCAGGTCCTCAGCACCAATTGTCCCACTCTGCAGGCCCACTCCTGTTGAGCCGCACTGCTTGCTGATGTAGACGTAGCCACTGGGAGTGGTGTTTTGTGCAGGCTTACCTGTTCCAACAGGATTTTCTAAAGGACATTCTCTGAAATTGTGTGAGTGTGGTTGGTCATTTCTACGGTGAAGAAAACACAGCTGACTCAGAAAACTTGGCCTTTTCAAACAGCTAGTAGAGTTGATCTGTATTTCTATTTTGTAAATATGTTCCAAACATCTGTTTAGAGGAGAAAGAAATGTGAAACCTTGAAAGTTACGTTTTGCTCAATGGCCAATGAACCATCCTGCAAACCCATTTTCCTGTCCCAGCACTGTGAAGTGGAGCTGTTGCCTAGAGCACCAGTCGCTCTCTAGCGTGTCTAACCTATCAGTAATCTCCAATCTGATAATTTTGTCACTTTTTGTAACCACTGCTGCTCTACGTGCCAGTCCTTTGTGTGACCTGAACTTTCTTAGGTCAAAGGAACTTCAAAATACGTTTGAATACTTGTGGTCTCAGCAAGAACAAAGTGCATTCCAGATATCCCTCTGATAATCTTAGGTGTGCTGAGAACTCTCCCTAGAATTTATTTCTATAAATCTAGAAGTAAAAGGAGATTATTTGTAACGGCAAACAACCAAAGAGAAGAAACCAAAAAGAAATCCCAACACTTAATTAGTAGTTTATGATTAAAGGCACTTCACTGTAACTCATTTGAATGTTGCCATATCTTGAATGTTAATCTTCATGATAACTTTGTAACAGTAACAGAAGAGGACAATACCCCATTTATACTGGAATTCTTCAAGAATGTTTTGTACCCTTAGTTTGCAGGGCAGTACAAGTATCTGTTTTCTATAGAGAAAAGCATAAAAAGATATGGATTAAATTATTCCAAGGGGAGAAGTAATTGATTCCCTCCCTAAATCAGCTGCCATTTGGCATTGGGATATGAAGAACACAATGCAATAATTCAGAAAAAAAAATTATCCTTTCAGAGACTTCATAAATTGTTATATTTTATTTCTTGTTTTCCACGTCAGAAATTTAATTAGAATAGATTAAGCAGTCGTGAGAGAATGTGCAGTTGACTTGATCTTTAGCATTCTTCTTCACAGTCATCCATTCTGAGGACTGTGCTTTCAGGAAAGAAAATCACTGAGTTGTCAGAATTCAGGAAGCCGCAGTGTTACAAATGAAAGAAACAAATGGCAGTATGTAACTTGACCCAGTTAATGCTTGTTATAAAAGCTTTACTTTCTGTCATATAACAAAAGTTTTCAATATTAAACATAATTTGGAGCACCAGTTAATGTGCTTCCAAGTCTTGAATTTGATGACGAACAGCATCTGATGCACTCTAATGATATCAGAATGAAAGTAAGTTGTTTTGCCACTGTTGTTAGGCAGCACTTTTAGTCAGCTTACAGTGAAAGGAACACTCAGTTATATTTACAAATCAGGCATGCGGTACATATTTCTTCTTTTCTGTTTTTCTGTCATTTTTGTTTAGAAACATTCCTTTTAAAAAGAAAAATTCTTCTTAGTAAAACAAATGAAAGTCTATCGCAGCATATGGATGAACCTGAAATGGTTTGTCCTTGGCAAGTGTTTCACAAAGATATCAACATGTATGAAATAATTAAAGTGGGGGGAAATAACCTCCTTTTGAATGCAATTGAATTTGAAATTCTTTGTTTATTCATGTCATTTTAGTTCCTACAAGATATTCTTGACACGTTGTTTGTAGTCTTGGATGACAACACAGAAAAGTATGGTCTGTTGGTCTTTCAGTCTTTGGTAAGCTGCTGAATTGTTACTTTTCTTTATCTCATGGTCAGTGAGTTTTAAGTTTCTTATTATCATGTTGCTAGTATTTTACTTCCATGAAATATGAAATATTCAGCTGGATCCAGCCTTATGTTTTCTGTAATATCTTGGGTGAGGAGGGCAGGATAGGCTCAACAGATGGAGTACAGCAATATTTGTTGTCACTTGGGAGAAGCAAACAATAACATCTGATAACACAACTACCGACTGTTTAAAGAAACTCATGTAGTTCATTGTTCCTCAGCTTGTGTAACTTGTTTAGACAAACCTAGCAACATTGTGCAGTTTCCTTTAGTACGGGTTCGCTTTTTCATCTCCCACAGGTATTCATCATAAATCTGCTGCGTGACAGCAAGTATTTTCATTTTCGACCTGTGATGGACACTTACATTCAGAAGCACTTTGCAGGAGCACTGGCTTACAAGTAGGTTTTGTTATCCATCACTTCAAGAGATGGTGTTAGCAAGCTTTTGAATGATGTCACCATCAGAATCATAACCTTCATGTTAGCAGTGGTTTTCAAAAGTACAGCTACTCAGATGAAAGTTTTCCAGCACAGTTGTAGAGAAAAGCTGCTGAAAATCACCGGTGGCTAAGAATGAGCAGACTTTGGAATTTTTCTTGCCTTTCTGAACTTACTGAATCTTACTTTCTTTTTTTTTAACTGAAGAGGGACTGTCACTCAGCAACAGCTCGTTATCAGTCTGTACTAATGAGCTATCAAGAGCATATATGTTTCTTGTCATAAGGATGTTGGGATATAAGACTTGTGTGAAAGCTTAAAGAACTAATTGTAATTTCCTCTTCCAAAGTAGACAGGCATTCACATAAGAAGATGTTCTATTTGATTACAGTAAATGTATAATTTCAGTAGATCAGAAACTTAATTTTCACTGTCAGTTTGAAGATTCTGCCTTATTTTCTAGTATTCTTTTTTGCGTTTTGCATCGGAGAATAAGACAGATTTTTGAAAGCAGTAACAGTTATCACTCAGGGTGTTGTTTTTCCTTTCTTTTAGACCATTTCTTTTGTATATTTAAGCATATTTTATCTTTGGCCACAATAAACTGTTAAAAACAGCTTATAATTGGTTTTGATTGTTTTAAGCCACTCACATTTTAGTGTAATTTAAAGAAATATATTAAAAATATTCTGTCAATGACAGGTAAAAAACTGTAGATACTATACAACACTAGAAGGCATAGTCATGTTTAGAGGGTAAAAAGGTGTTCTACTTTCTGTTAATTGTCACCTCTTTCAGACAAAACAAATTATTTTTGGTAGTCTGATGTCTGAAATATAACATGTTTTTAATACAACTCTTAAGTTAGTCCAAATGGTATTGTATACTTAGGAAAACAGATGCATGTATTTTCTTTGTGATCTTAGTTTCTAAAAACTTCTTACTTAGAGGAGATCTGGAATTTCTTAAAAAGAGTATGTTTTGGTCTTAGAACTATATTGCATGCCTTTATCAAAGCTATCTCTTTAATAACATCTTTCTGATGTTCTCCTAGAGTTCCTCATGGTCCAAGTCAACTACAGAGAAGAATTTTTTTCTGGTTTTGAAACTTAAATAAACATATATATTATGTAAATTCAGTAGCTAGGACAGCTATAGCTGACCACTAAAATGGAGTGAAATGAGATATTTTATACATTTCTCCCTAAAACCAAAATGTTTGTTGCCTCACTAATTTTAAAATAGTGCTGAAGGTTCCTCTTCTTTTCACCGTTTGTTGTATTCAGAGAACTGATCCGATGTTTGAAGTGGTACATGGACCGTTCAGCTGAGCTTGTACGCCAAGACCACATCCAGGAAGCAATGAGAGTATGTATTCAATGGAAGTATTTGTGTGTCTGTTCCGTCTGTGACTACAAACGGGCTGGGGAAGCTGTAAGTAAAATCAAGGGTAGTCTTGACACTGACTTCTTTTTTTAACCAGATTTTTTTTTTTAATATATTTGGCCAAAATTTTAATTTTAGGGGGAGATTCACTCTTGTGCAGAAAAAAATGGAAGAATTATGTCTCCTGAAGTCCTTTCGAAGCCCTGTGGAGAACTTGAGTGGGACTTAGATGGAGTATAAGTGCGCTGGCCATTTATATATATGGTCTACACCTTGCACTTCAAGAAGCGGTTATTTTGAATGTATTAGGCACGGGTGCTGTGGATCAAAGATATACTTTTTATTTCCGGCTGTGGCACAGCTTCATTGTATTATTGGTTGAAGTTCTGGAGTATTTTATGAAGCAGATAAATGAGCCTTTAACTGGATGGAAATTCTAACTGTCATTGCACAGGACCTGAATCGCAGTTCCATGATGAGAGTATGATCTCCCAGCAAGGCACAGCTTTCTAGTAGTGTGTGAAACAAAGGGAGTATTTCTGGTGCTATACTACAGAGAAATCAGAGAATAAATAAAATATTCATTTTACCACGTGTAAGTGTAAAACAGAAAGATAGTGTGTCAAGTACATAAATACAAGAGTCCAAAATTTGCAGGAAGATATTTTCCTTTGAGTGAATGTCCATCTGTGCCTTCTTACTCTAAGTAGGCTTATGTCCAAACATTTGAGTCTGGGCACTTTTAGAACTAGTAGCAGTGGCAGAGAGTAGCACTTTCTTTTTCTCAGTCTCTCATGTCAGTACAAATGGGTGAAGCATCTCACAGGTGAAGTGCACACACACACACATACATACACTACTCCTTTAATTTCTGGCAACCGTTTGGGAAAGTCAGAGGTTGTTCCATGTAAATGTGTTTATGCTTGTGTCTTGGTGTACGTTTCAGACTTTATTATGGCTTTTTCTTTCTTCTTGTGGTATTTTTGTTCTTTGTTTTGCCTCCTTCAGTCTAATTTAGTCAGTATTTTTGAGGAAGTAATTTTTATTTTTTGAGAATCCTTGTTCAGTTTGAATGGTATGGCATCACCGCCATCAAGTAGCTTTCAAGATCCCCTGTTTAGATCATATCCTGAGACTTACAAGGGCATTATACCAGTGTTTACTTTGTCTTTTGTATTTATTTACATACTTAGAAACTTCTTTGTAGTACTTTTCAACCACAGATTCATAGGGAATGGTAAAAATGGGGCAAAGATGTCTTTTCAAGAAATTATCAACTTTCTCATTCTTTTTGTTTCCATCCTTATCCTTCTTTTTTTTTCTGAATTACAAAGAAACCTATTAAAATCATGAGATGAGAGGAGGATCTCTAGCTGGAATGACTTCTAGGTTTTCTGCCCCCTCAAACCACTTGTTAGTGCTATATGCAATGCAGCAAGTAGAGATGTATGATATTGTCCCTATGCAATCTGCTTTTTTTGAACCTCATAGTAGTCCTCTTCAGAAATATTAAAAATACGAATGCTGGAATGTCTTTCAGAAGCTTGGTTATTCAACATACTGTTTGTGAATAAGGTACATTATTTCAAGGATTTCAAGGCAGCTCTTTGCTTGCTGGGAATCTCAAGGGCTTGCCTAGAAAGTAGCTGAGTCCATGAGTGTGAGGTCAATTTGAAGACTTGACAGCCCAAGCCGTTCCAAGCACAGGAATTATAATTACCACCAGAGTTTCTGCAGATCTGACAGCGCGTCCTCTACACTGACACTGCTGTCACATCTTACTCACACAGTTGCCTTTGCAGCTGTATCTTGGAGGCCCAAATTAAGGTCTTTATCTTCTTCCATTAGAGGGAAGTGTTTCATTTCCTTCTTTTTTTCTAGATTTTATTTCAGGCATTTGGAGCGAGTTTGTACCGAAACCATTATCATTGCTAATGTGTCACTACTAGTACTATATTCTACTGTTAGGAATTTCTGTGGCCTTGGATGTCTTCACTTGCATTAGTAGTTCTTCAACTGAGAAAACAGTATAGCTCTCTATCCCCTTTTCCCTGAATTAGCTGTTAAATGTACTACCCTAAAGCAGGTGTTGAAATATCTTTGTGCTCTTTTTTGGCTCTTGACTACACAAGTACATTGATGATGGCTATGCAGGTGTCCCATAGGATTCTGGTTTTTGACCTTGGCATTAGCAAGTGGTGCTCTAGACTATTTCTAAAATTACTTACCTTCCTCAAGACTGCTCTTAATTCTCAAAAAACTTCTATGAAACCTAGAGAAACTATAACCAAAAGGATGTCTCTAGACATCTAGACACGTACTAGAGCACATGGCATCATGTTCCTTTATTATGCCCTACAACAAGCTCCATATAAGCTGCATCCAGATACAGCTGCCTGTGCCTCCCTGGAGAGTTCTGTAACAACGTGTCCATGTATGGCTCCGCAGACAATTTTACTTTCTCTACTAGTCATGGCAAAACTTAGGAATTGTCTCCAGGAGATGTCCTTTCAGCTTCAGTTATCCTCCAGTAGTAGAATCACAGGTGGTTTTTGTCTACGTTGAGGAACCCACTGAAAAAGCAAGACCTGTGCTTCCTCAGGAATTCACATCTTCATATTGGTGTTCTGGAGCTG